TTTTTTTTTTTTTTTTTGGCTTTTCAGTTTTATGGTACAAATCAATACTTGTGGACAAAATTGCCCCTAAGTTAATGGCAGAATTGTTGAAAAAGTGTATTGTTGAAATACTTATGGACAAATTGATGGCAAATCTACATTTACACAGAATTACAAATAAATTTAATGGCAAAATTTCAAATTAAATTGCAATCTTGCAAATTAAAAAACAATTTAGATTTGAATTCAAACATCAATTTCCAAATTCCGTTAAAATAAAACTGAAATTAATTTAATATCTGAAAAAAAAACCAACTGTATGGTATAAGAACGAGTCGGATGTGTTGTCGATTGAACAAAAAAAACAAGTGAAATCGAGCTATTTTCATAGTAGAACGGACGCCAACAAATATTTCACAAACTAGATAGAAGTAAAAGTATGTCATTTCTGTTAAAATGGAATTGAAATTAATTTAATTTTTGATAAAAAAAATAATAAATTGAATGCAATTGTATGTTAAAAGATTGAGTCAGATTTGTTTTGGGAAAAAGAAAATATGTAAAACCGAGTTGTTTTCAATGTAGATAGAACACCAACAAATATTGCTCGAACAAGATAGAAGTAAAAGTGTGTTGTTTCTGTTAACATAAAACTGGAACTAATTTGTAACAATGAGATGCAAAATGCATAACATTTCAGTTTGCACAATCACATTTCGAAAAGAAATAGCCAGAATAATATTTGTCTCATTTTTCCTCCAAACATCTGCTTGTACTTTTGCACAAATATAATTTCCCTATCTCCTATTTAGTTTTTGCATTAATTTTGATACATTTGATAGCGTAATTTAAATATATTTATGGAAATGACTACAGTCCGGTTACGAAATCATTCCCTCGAGATTTTTAACTGAAGATACACCATGTAAATTACTGTAGGATAAATAATCTATAGTTAAAAACTCCGACGAAATGGTTCGTAACGGGAATGTTGTCTTTCCCTTCATTTCATATCGTACTATTTTTGTTAACTAGTACAGAGCCCGTGCGATGCACGGGGTGCACAATTTGAAGGCCATATATCCAGCCTCATAGTTATATAAATGAATAAAAAAGATGTACGAGATATATATAGTACGTGACCTGTGCGAGACACGGGATATATTCATTTGAGGAGTATTATAGTTTAATATAAAATATTCAATAAAAGTTGTACGATACACAGGAAAATTGTACAATAAAATATTATTGAAAAAAGAAACAATCATATATTATTAAAGACCTCTTATACACAACATTATGAGTTTGATTATCGGGTAACTCCTCATTCTCACAAACTAATATCTTCAAACCCCCTTCTATTAGTCACACGGAAAACAGTAACATATAATTGACCATGACTAAAGAAAGACTTCTTTAGAAAAAGACCAACGTGGGATAAAGACTGACTCTGACTCTTGTTTATGGTCATGGCATACGAAACCATAAGTGGGAACTACCGCCGCTGAAACTTAAATGGAACCCTAAGATCAGAAGGAGTAATATTCATTATAGGAATCAACACTGTGTCGCCAACATGATCACCAGTCAATATCTTGCATTCAAGACAAAAAAAAAAAACAATAGGCTTGGATCATCCATATTTCACATCTTTTAATAAGTGGCGTTTATTTAAGCCAAAAAATTAACATGTTAATTAATATATAATTCCGCTAACACGTCATACTAGTATTTATTTAATTTTAGAATACATATTTATTCATTGATATAAGAAAAAATAAAAATTTTATTAATTATTGTTCACCATATAATACTCAATTATTATTTTATTATAAAATTTACAGTCATATAATGTAATTATTATAATTTATAAAAGTTATAGAAGTAGTCATCTTTATGTATTGAAATTCAAAATAAAATTTTGAGTATAAATGTTTACAAAATACACGCACATGTTTTTTACAATTCAATTTTCTCATAATAATTCTTTTTTTCATCTTAAGGCTTTATAGTTTATTTAACATACTATGCAATAGAAAAATATTTTACAATAAGTTCATTTTTGAAACATAACAAAAAAAAGTGATAAAAATACTATCATAGTTGACAATAATATACAAATAAATAACATGTCGAAATTTTAAAGTAAACTAATATAATTTTATTATCTAAGCATCAATAAAATCATTTAATGATGTGATCATTATCTTTTAAATAATAAATAATATTAATTTTTTAAAAAAATATTAGTGTTATATAATTAAATAAAGGTTAAAAAATATTACTCGACAAATATTAATTATAATGGATATCAGTAAAATCATTGCATAAATTATTTAAGGAAAAAAATCTTTAAGATCATATTTGGATAGTAAATGTATATATGCAAGCATTTAATGCATATAGTAAATAATTTCCAAATAAAGTATGCATTAAATGTGTGTTGACTTTTCTTGCTACTGTTTTTGGTAAATAGGTTGGCTTTTAATATATACTAGTACAGAGCCCGTGCGATGCACGGGGTGCACAATTTTAATGTCATATATCCAGCCTTGTAATCATATAAATGAATAAAAAAGATGTACGGGATATATATAGTACGTGACCTGTGCGAGACACGGGATATATTCATTTGAGGAGTATTATAATTTAATATGCAATATTCAATAAAAGTTGTACAATACACAAAAAAATTGTTCAATAAAACAGTATTGAAAAAAGAAACAATCATATATTATTAAAGACCTCCTTGTACACAACATTATGAGTTTGATTATCGGGTAACTCCTTATTCTCACAAACTAATATCTTCAACCCCCTTCTATTAGTCACACGCGAAACAACAACATATAATTGACCATGACTAAAGACAGACTTCTTTAGAAAAAGACCAACGTGGGATAAAGACTGTCTCTGACTCTTGTTTATGGTCATGTCATATGAAACCATAAGTGGGAACTGCCGCCGCTGAAACTTAAATGGAACCCTAAGATCAGAAGGAGTAATATTCATTCTAGGAATCAACACTGTGTCGCCAGCATGATCACCAGTCAATATCTTGCATTCAAGACAAAAAAACAATATGCTTGGATCATCCATATACCAGATCTTCTAATAAGTGACGTTTATTTAAGCAAAAAAATTAACATGTTAATTAATATATAATTCCGCTAACACGTCATACTAATATTTATTTAATTTTAGAATACATATTTATTCATTGATATAAGAAAAAATAAAAATTTTATTAATTATTGTTCACCATATAATACTCAATTATTATTTTATTATAAAATTTACAGTCATATAATGTAATTATTATTATTTATAAAAGTTATAGAAGTAGTCTTCTTTATGTAATGAAATTCAAAATAAAATTTTGAGTATAAATGTTTACAAAATACACACACATGTTTGTTAGAATTCAATTTTCTCATAATAATTCTTTTTTTCATCCTAAGGCTTTATAGTTTATTTAACATACTATGCAATAGAAAAATATTTTACAATAAGTTCATTTTTGAAACATAACAAAAAAAAAAAAGTGATAAAAACACCATCATAGTTGACAATAATATACAAATAAATAACATGTCGAAATTTTAAAGAATAACTAATATAATTTTAATATCTAACCATCAATAAAATCATTTAATGATGTGATCATTATCTTTTAAATAATAAATTAATTTTTTAAAAAAGTATTAGTGTTATATAATTAAATAAAGGTTAAAAAATATTACTCGACAAATATTAATTATAATGGATATCAGTAAAATCATTGCATAAATTATTTAAGGAAAAAATCTTTAAGATCATATCCCCCTCTATATATTAATACAGAACGCGCTGAGCCTACGTGGCTGTTTTTGGTGCTTCGGAATCCTATGTGGCAAAATTACATGCTTCGTTATTAGGCTTGAGTAAATTTTAATTTAATTCCAAACCAAAAATAATTAGGTTCGGATTACCATAAATATGTTGATTATTTATGGTCATGTTACACGCATTAATTGCATTTTAATATCATTCCTTATTATAACTATTGAATTGTATATGTATTTTAAAAGTTAATAACTTTTGTATTTTTTATCAGTTTTACATATGTAATATATCAAATTAATCTTCTTCTGATGAGCTTCGATTTAACATCCATATTGTATGTATAAAAAAATAATTTATATTTATCTTTATAACAATAATAAAATTATTTTTAATATTAATTAGAAAAATAAAATTATTTATCAACTAATATATTTATATTTCAAGTAGTTATATGATATAAGTTATAAAAACTTATATAATATAACATATGTAAGTCATAAGTAACACATATCATTCTAAAATATATAGGGATATATTTTTTTTTGTAGAAAAGTAAACTAAATTTAATATAGTTTTCTCATTATTTTAAAATTTAGAATAATTTTTTAACAAGCACCCGTGTAATACACGGGTGTTGTACTAGTTTGGATAGTAAATGTAAATATGCAAGCATTTAATGCATATAACAAAAAATTTCTAAATAAATTATAAATTAAATGTGTGTTAACTTTTCTTGCTATTATTTTTTATAAATAGGTTCGCTTTTAATATATATACTAGTGCATAGACCGTGCGATGCACGTGATACATATAATAAATTAATCATTTTCATAGGACTTGTACGTCCAGAAAAACAATAGGTTTGGATCATCCATATTTCACATCTTTTAATAAGTGGCGTTTATTTTAGCCAAAAAATTAACATGTTAATTAATATATTATTTCGCTAACACGTCAACTAATATTAATCTGATTTTAGAGTACATATTTATTCATTGATATAAGAAAAAATAAAAAATTTATTTATTCTTTTTCACCATATAATACTCAATTATTATTTTATTATAAAATTCATAGTCATATAATGTCATTATTATTGTTTATAAAAGTTATAGAAGTAGTCTTCTTTATGTAATGAAATTCAAAATAAAATTTTGTGTATAAACAAAAATCAGACACATATTTTTTAGAATTCAATTTTCTCATAATAATTTAAAAAAAATGATTTAGCAATTGCCAAAAAATAATCCCTTACATAATCAAGATATTTTTTTAAATTTTTATCCTAAGGCTTTATAGTTTATTTAACATACTATGTAATAGAAAAATATTTTACAATAAATTCATTATAGAGACATATAAAAAAAGTGATAAAAACATTATCATAATTGACAATAATATACAAATAAATAACACGTCGAAATTTAAAGAATAACTAATAAATTTCAATTTTATTATGTAGCCATCAATAAAATCATTTAATGATGTGATCATTATATTGTAAATAGTAAATAATATTAATTTAAAAAAATTATTAGTTTTATATAATTAAATAAAGGTTAAAAAAATTATCGATAAATATTAATTATAATGGATATCAATAAAATCATTGCATAAATTAATAAAATTATTTAAGGAAAGAATCTTTAAAATCATATTTGAATAAAAAATATATATATGCAAGCATTTAATGCATATAATAAAAAAATTCCCAATAAGGTATGCATTAAATGTGTGTTAACTTTTCTTGCTACTATTTTTAGTAAATAGGTTGGCTTTTAATATATATATAGAATATAGATATAGATATAGATATAGATATTAAAATAACACATAAATATTTGTGTGTTACTTTATAATATTTGTATAAAAATAAATTTCAAGTATGTTGATCTCCTAATAAGTAATTTTACATGTTAACAACTAAATAAAATAGCTAATTTTGTACCGAACAATTTTTTACAAACCGTTAATACAACCAGCTGGTCAGAACAACTAACGCAATCCACTTACCAAAACAACTAATACAATCCAATAACAACAAACAACTAATCGTTGATTACCAAACAGAGTAGTATTTATCTGAATAAACTTTACTATATTGTTTATTCAATGACCAGTAAACTGACGCCATCATTTGACTCTCGCCGGAATTAAATTCAGGTCAACATGTCGGAATCCGGCCGTGCTATAATTCTTTTGCAAATCGAGGACGAAGTCATAACTTTCTATTCATAGACAAATCAAAATCCGAATCAACTATATTTGTAAGGCACTTGAGAAACGAAAATTTCAAATTTTTCTCATATTATTAATAACTAACTAAACTATTACAATGATGCACGCGGATTGGCACAAATAGTTTACAGATTACCACAAAGTAAAAATAAAATGTAAAGCACACTGATAATATATATATGAGGATATTTTGCACCGCCCATTAATAAATTCCATATAACCTCAGGACTTCGGCAAGGCCCGGCCCGACGCCCACGTGAGGCCCTCACAATTCAAACCCCCACTCGAGATCAAGTTCTGTGCCGCACCGTACACGTCCGCCACGTCAGCTTGTTGGCCGCCAGCCATCTCGTCGTCCGCCACGTCATCGAGCGGCAGCCGGTCGAAAGCGGCGTTCATGAAGGTGGCGGCCACGATGACCACCGGGCCGGAGGCCACGAGGGCCCCCGCCACGCTCCCCCCGACGACCTGCCCGTGGGGCCCGGAGAGGTACACCGTCAGGCCGGCCACTCCCGGCGGGGCCGGAGGCGGCAGCACCGACCCCAGCAGGGACAGTATCTCGAACCTCCCGTGGAGGGTGACGACCGAGCCCGACGGGCCCGGCTGGCGAAGCCCGACGTTGGCCACGCAGCCCGTGGCGCTCAGCACGCACACGCCACGCTGGCGGCGCCGGGCGAAGCCCGTCAGGCAGTCGGCGATGTCGCAGCCCGGGCCCACCTCCACGGCGTGGGCCCGTAGGGCGTTCACGCTGTCCCGGGTGATGACGATCGGGGGCTTGGGCTTGTTCTTGGAGCCCGCGGGCCGGCCACGTGGTCGGCGGCCGGTGGGCTCGGATCGGTCGACAGGCTTCGGCGTGTTCGGGACAATGACGAGGCCCTGCGGGCCGTGGTTGAGTTCCGGGCTCTTGTCAAGGGAATCTTGTTTTCCGGCCATGATTTTTTTTTTTAATTTCTTTTTATTTTTACTTGAAATTTGGAGATTGGGAGAGTGTATTTATGTAGGGTGATTGTACCAAAAAAAATAATGGTTATTTTATGAGGAATGTATAAATGAAAATGGTGCAGTAGATTAGGATATGGTTAAGTGTGGGATAAATTGTAATGTAATAATTTAGAGGAAGGGTTTTGTTCCTAACTTCTAACAGATACTTCTTTCATGTCTATTGTCTTTTCCAACCTAAAAAAGCAACTTGCTTCATTAAATAGTATTTTTTTATTATATTTTGTTTATTATGAAAAACAATTTATCTTAATTTGGTATAATAGATAATTTTATTTTCTTTAATGATAAAATATAATTTAAATGATCTCGTCACGAAATTACAAATTTTTTTTTACTAAATTATGTTTTTTTATGATCTCGTCGCAAAAGTATTATATTTTCTGTAATTATGAGTACTTTAATTTTTCATGTGAGAGAATTTTTGTCATTTCGCAAAATACGTTGGTACCTTATTGTGCATTTTCACAGCATTAATATGAATTTCGTGTAACATTATTGTACATTTTGTAGCACAATAATGTTTTGATACATTCGTGAACTATTAAATGTGTAGATGATGACAATTTTATGATATTGGTACATATATGATGGTATTTTTAATATGCATATCGACATGTAATATCGTACATTTCACTTATCATTGTTGTGTAGTTATTAAATTTTCGATGAATTGCATAATTATATAAGACATGTATTACAATATATTGAAGTTTCTAAAATTACATACTTATATAATTTCCAAAAGAAATCCCCAGGCCAAAAATTGGTCCCACCGTTCAGCTCTATATCCTTCCCGTCGTTGAACCGCCTGACCGTCCTCACTCCCTCGAAGATCTCTTCGGTCATCCGCCTTCTCAAAAAGACGATGACGTACCCAGCCACGAGCCGTTTGGTCTTCACGAACCCGCTTCACTCAGTGCTCAATAGGTGCTAGATGTGGCGGAGCTATAATGCACGACCGCAGGCGTCCCAGACAGTCAGACCTTGATTCGGCGGTTCCAACGAAATTACGAAAGTTAACGTACTATTGGAATATATATAGGCTGAAATTTTCATTGGAATACCATTGGATCTTCCATTATAGTATGAATTTTTTCCAGTGTCTCTATATTTTTTGTTGAGTGAAGATGACAATATGACACACGAATTAAAAACAAGAAAAGTAAAAAACACAAGATTTACGTGGTTCGGCAATGTGCCTACGTCCACGGCGGCTGAGGGA